ATGCATGACAAGGTATGGCTGGCCTTGCTGGCTGCGGTCTGGCATTGGCGGCTCGTGTTCATCTTGGAGTCAATAATGACTCCGAGATCCCTTTCAGCCTCTGTGCTTTCAAGAGGGGAGCTCCCCAGCCTGTATGTGCGCTGTGGATTCCTTCTCCCAAGGTGCAGCACCATGTATTTGTCTACATTTAACCCCATCCTATTCTCATCTGCCCACTTTTGTAGTCTGTCTAAATCTATTTGCAGCCTCTCTCTCCCTTCAAGTGCGTCCACCTCGCCCCACATCTTAGTGTCATCAGCAAACTTGGGTCAGAAGGCCCACAGCTGCTATTTGGTTGTGCAAATGCATGCAGGACTGGATAGCCTGCTGTTTAATGCCTCGGCTTTCATGGGGCTGGCAATAAGAAAAACAGCTAGCGCATGATGCATCTGAGCAAGATGCCACAATGCCCAGGTCATGCAGGACGTGTGACAGCATAAGGCATGTGGCTCCCAGAGCCATCGGGTGTTGTGAGGCTTGCTCGCTGATGAAGGCAAAAAGATGAGAGAGAGTTGGCTCCGCTTTTTATGTAACCTCATCAGCGCATCTAAGAAAAACGCAAAGTCCAGTGCTGTTTGTATCTGGATGCTGCTTGCCCACTGCCTTCCAAGTTCAACAGGTTTCATATGAACACCTCTGTTCAGCTTGCTTCTAGCTTAACTGTGACGCCTCACCCTCTGGAGAAATTAGCACCGAGAAATCGGAGCAAGTCAAAACAATGCCGGACACAAAGAAGGATTATTAGTCATCAGAAATTATACTGCCTCTTTGCACGATTATCTGGGGCCTGCATTCAACCCACGCCGCAAGCGAGCACGTCACGGAGACAGCGAACACAAAACTTTGGCGCCTGCCTTCCGTTTCTCAATCCTCGCTACTTGTTTCTGCCTCATCACCAGGCAGACCCCGTCATGCCAGAGAAACAGGGGATTTTACCATTTCTGGCCAAAATGTGGCGCAACGGTAGCTTTACACTTGATGGCACTCACAAAGGGGCGAGTCTGAGAACCCGAGATCATGACCAATTTTGGAGAAGCAGAGACTTAGTTCTCATCTAGCCACAATTAAGGGCTCAAGTGACTTGGGGCGGTTTATTCTTAGGTGGACCCAGCCTGTTAATACAAGAGTCAAAGTCTGCTTTGCATAATTCTATTGTTCTGTGATGCACATTGTTTTTCCAGGCTATTTTTTCCCAAACCACTTCTCATCAAATGCAGAAGAGAAACTGTGAAATGGAGTAAGTGGTGTAGTGCAGTGAAACAGAGCACCGGAGTGCTGGCTCTCAAAATGGTTAGCCCCTGCAGGGAGTGCATCTGCAGTGTATCTGGCCACCCAGCTGCTTCGAGGACCCCCGGCAGACTCTCCCGGGGGTTATCAGGGCATGCGATCGTGGGCAAGCTGGCAAATTGAGTGGGGCCAGGGGAGAAACAGTCCAAAGAAAGATGCAAGTGCAAGGCAGAAAGAATGAAACAAGAGGGAAGACGAAGCAAGAGGAAGCCGAGGCGAATAATGGAAAGAGGCACGTCTCATTCCCGTAACTCGTTCCTTCAGCATCTTGGAGTTCGAGGCCAAAACCAACAATATTGCATTCATTTTTCCATGATGAAAAACCAACCCAGCTGATCGAGTCCACTCACTGCTTCATGCAAGTATTATAATAAAAAGTGGGGGGTTTTTTAGTGTTTGTTTTTTATTTTAAAATTAGCCAGTACCTAATGAAAGAGCTAAGTGAAGGGGATGGGCTGGTAAATCACTCATTGCAACTGGAGTGGCTGAGCTCACAATCTGGCTCAGGGGTAGGGGCGCGCAGCCTGTACCCCTACGGTTTTCTAGGCCGCACAGTCAGCAGATTCCTCCAGCTCGTGCACACGGGGGGAATGCAAAGCAATAGCTCAGAGACCCCGTGACCCCTGGCAGGCATTGGCGTGCGCCGCAACCGGTCAGGAGAGCCTCGGACACACCGGGCTCTTTCTTCCACATGTTTGGCACGGAGCTGTTCGGGGACTGGATTCTACGGGGCTCGGTGGGGAGAACTAGTGTGTGATCCAGCACAATAACCATGGCTGGAACACATGGAGCTAATAACAATATCGCTTAGATCTTTACAGAGCTCTCTCCGTCTTCAAAGCAAACGTTAACTGGGCGAAGATTAACTAGCAAAGAGCCAGGGCTCTTGCAGACACCTGGAGAGGAGCTCCGGGGCAGGACGCTCTCCTTACCTTTCGTTCCCTGGCTGGAATTCGGACAGTAAGGAAGGCCTCCTCCGCTGGGGCTGCATGATAGATCCAGGTGACAGGTGGGAAGTGTAGTCCCGGGAATGATGCTGATACTCCAAGAGCCCGACATCCTGCAGCGGAAAACAGAAAAGAAAAGCTGTCAGGCTGGTGTTGAGCGGTGGGCGCTTCATCGAGTTTCTACTTACCCCGAGGGGCACTCTGGTAAATGGAGCACTTCCTATTCCTTGCTGCCCCGCGAGAAATTTGTAGTTGGTCACAAGACCCTCTCTTAGCCTTCTCTTGCAGAGGCTGAAGAGGTCCAGGTCCTTCAATCTCTCCTCGTAGGACCTTACCTGCAGGCCCTTCGCAGCAAGCCACGCCTGCTTTTCATTTAAAGCCATCAGATGCCAGACTGCCCTCCCAATCCCCTGAGACAGGCTCCCCCATGCAACAGCATCCCAAGTTTCCCTGTGTTGGGTGGCTAATGGACCTCAATCAGGTGCTGGCATGAGACAGGAGCTTATCTTCCAAGGCTCGTTTGCCCCTTGACCCAGTGAAGGTCCCGACACTGGGGGCGGCTTGCTGAGATGTGACCCAGACACGAAGACACTGAACCGAGACCACGAACTCGCTGCACAGGGAAGGCTGTCCATCTGCACACTGTTTGAACCAGCAGCTTGCAGGTGAAAGGCTCTGAAGTCGTTCCCTAACTCCTGCTGGCTATTTAGTTCCTTCTCTTGCCCTCCCTTCCCTGGACGCACAACCACGACTAACTATGGGTATGCAGAGGCATGCCTCCATGCTGGATCTGCCTCGCCAGCAACCGGGAAGAACAGCACATTTATCCCAGCGGCAGGTGCCTCCACCCTGGCCTACAGAAGGAGCAGACACCAAGGGCAGCTCATCGCCAATGCAACTTACTCAAATACAGGGCAGAATTACTCCGGGGGGGGCAAAATGGGGTACAAGTCACGCTGGGATATGTGCCATCTGTCTGCAACTTCTCCCGGGGTTGTCCCTCGCTCGGACTGCTCCGATACCACCCACTATGTGCGGGCAGTTACATCTCCAGCTTCTGGTATACATTACACAGGTGCACAAAACCGGTCCAGGTTATACCGACGAAGTCAAATCCAAGGAGCAGAAAAAGTGAGAAGGAAATTCAATATTGTAGAATTCTTTCAGCTTTCATAACCTAAAAGGTGGTGTTAATTTGAAGAGAGAGAATGGGGGGGAAAAAACCCACCCGTGAAGGTTATCTTGACAGTGCTGCTTTAAATGCAGCTCCCAGGGGTTGAGTTAAAAGGGGTAGAAAGGACAGTTTGCTACTTATTATGTAGCCCTCCTTTTTGTTCCCTGACCCTTGGAGAGTACAGTACTGTATGTTCCTGATTTAATTAACCGAGGAGCCCGCCTGTTCCCTGCCACAAAGACTCTTATTCAAACGACACAAGATTTCAGCTGCTGCATTTCAACTGCTATTTATTTACAGCTAGAAGTCTGACCACCAAAAAAGACAAAAAAAGACCAATAATATAATTGCCTAAGACCTTTAACCATGCCACATGATATCCGCCCTGATTTCATCACCACCGGGTGACACTATCATATAATAAAGGGAAAGTCATATATTAGAAGGGAAAAGGATTTCTGAGCTAATTTGGGCTACTTTTTTGCTACCTGTCATAATAAAGAAGTTCCTAATCTGGTTGTGTTACCCAAGCAGCACACGCTCATCCTGGCACGCCTTACACATCAGTACTCAGGGGGACAGGGACGATTGCCCACAGTTACTGTGCCACCCCGCAGACTTGGAAGAGCCAGTCCCACTTCTCAGTTCCACCGCAGCCTTCTTGTCTAGCCTACGGCAAGGTGCTTTGCCTCTTTATGCCTCAGTTTGCTGCCTGTAAAATGGGGGTAACACATTTGAAGGGGGGGGGGAGGGACACGCAACATGGGAGTCTCTGCACACCGTGCATTATAGGAGATCCAGTGCAGGGAGTCCAGCCACCAAAAGGGAATGAGAAGAGGTTCTTCCGAGGCGCTGCACATCTAGATAAAACAATTTTCTTTTTTAATTTTGGACAAAATTTTCGGAAATAGAAAAATTTCTATTTTCAAATTTTCTATAGATATTTGCAGTTTCTATAGAAAGCAAATACTTCTACCAGGGTAACCTTCTCGCCAAACCCCCCCCCCCCCCCCCCCCCTCCACCTAAACCTACACACACTAAGT